AACTAACAAGTGCCATTAGCGTGGTTTGTTTGTTTGTTTGTTTGTTTGTTGTTTTTACGACGCGTAACATTTTTTAGCACAAGTTTAAGCGTGTGAGAGCACCTGCACGTGACACCTCTGATAAGCCAAGTTTGATTTTGTGATAAATCACACTTAGACTATTATCATTATTATTATTATTATTATTATTATTATTATCATTATCATTATCATTATCATCCTTATTGTCAGAAGTTAATGAAAACAAATTTGTTTTGTGTTTATTACTATTATTATATTTCCTATATATTTCATAAAAATATATTTTATAAATTATTTTTTATTATTACTATCGTTATCATTGTGTGATATTATTTTTACTCCAAAGACATCATCCCGGGGTTTCACGAAACAACGCTTCACCGAAAAGAAATTGTTAGTCACGTAATTTTCGATTTTCTCAGAACGTGACGCCCCTTGAGGTTAGTCTGCTGCAATTCTTCTATGCGTACGTTCAGCGCGTGTCGGCCGCTCAGCTCCTGGACTCCTGGCCGTCGCTGCTCTCACTGCTGCGGGACGGTCTACACATCGACCTGGTCGCACCCGGAAAATTCCTGCTGCTCATGTAAGTGGCGCCGGGAAAGGTTCCTGCTGCTTATGTGACAGGGACAATTCCTGTTGCTCGTGTAAGGAAAACTTGGAAAATTCCTGCTGCCTGTATAAGTGGTACAGAGGAAATTCCTGCTGCNTCACCCCTCCCTCTCCCCCTCCTCTCTCTTCACGGTACCTCACCCCTCCCTCTCACCCTCCTCTCTCTCTTCACGGTACCTCACCCCCTCCCTCTCCCCCCTCTCTCTCTCTTCACGGTACCTCACCCCCTCCCTCTCCTCTAGCCTGCGGGATTGCTTCATCACCCTGGCTCCGAGCTGTTGTTGGGTTGTTTTGTTGTCATTTGTTTGCGTCAGATGGAGCAACTTTCCACTCCTTCAGTTCTTTCTCTCTCTCTCTCTCTCTCACACACACACACACACGCTCACTCGCTATCTCTCTCACACACACACTCGCATGCGCTTTCTCACTCTCTCTCTCTGTCCTCTCTTCTTCTTCTTTTTCTCACCC